GACTTATATAGGGATATTCATAAGAGCTCTATTCATAATGGCCCCAAACAGGAAACTACCTAAATACGCATCAAAAATAAATGGATAAATAAATTGTAGTACATTCATACAGTAATATACTACATAGCAATAAAAAGTAACAAATTACTGGTATATGTAACAACACGGATGAATCTCACAGATAATATGCCGAAATTAAGACAGACACAAAGGAGTATGTGCTGTATTGTTCCATTTATATGAATTTCAAGAACAAGTAAAACTGATGATATTTGTAGACATCAGAATAGAATACCTTTGACAGAGTACAGATTGGGAAAGAACATTAGGGACCCTTACGTGATGCCTGAAATATTCTGCATCTTGATCTGAGTGATGGCTTTAAAAAATCAAGCTGTATACTTAAAATTAGTGTACTTTATATATTTTATGTATGTTATCCCTCAATTTAAAAAAATCTGTGAACCAAGTATTATGTTAAGGAAAGAAAAACCCTATCTAAAACAGAAAAGGAGACCTGGGGCATCCACAAAATTATGTTCCCACTGTGGAACCCCTCCATCTAATAAGGTTCTGGATCCCACCAGAGAGCAGGTCTTCCCTATGCTAGCAGCAAAGCCTGGACTGTGGTTAGGAGTCAGCAAAGTGTTGGGTCAAGTTTGTCCAACTTCTACAACACAAAGCACTTGAAAATGGAGGACTTGCAGATTTGATATTACAACTAGACTGTTATGGCTTGAGACATATGTGCTCTTTTCCTGGCACTGAGAGGAAGCATCAAGCCCATGACAAATTATCAGAAATGTCCAAGTAGCCTATTAGGCCCTGTCTGGCTGAGCTATCCCCATTTCAATTAAGAGGGCCCTGAAGACCATGAATCAATCTCCAGGTCTTCCAATCGCTCTGTCTTTGATTCTTCTACAAAAGACATAGGGTCAACATTTCCTGAGCTTTCAGGAAACAGAGTCTTATGTGCCTCTGGGGGTTAAAAGCATAAAACAGCATCTGGAAATTCTTCTTGTCTTACAGCACTGCTTAGATTCAGAATGAATTTCCCCTTCATACTCTTCCTTTGTGCCCTCTTACCCTAGGACAGGCAGGGTGACAATCCCACAGCCAGATTGTGATCTGCAGGGGTTTATTATAAACACCAGAGAGGTATTTGTGCCCCTGTGGTGACTTGTTTAAGGAGCTATAGATGTTGCTTTTTTTTTTTTTTTGGCTAGGGTGCTGATTCCACTTAGAAACCATAAGACTAAGAAATAGGAAGGGAACAGAGATCTCTGAAGATCATGCTCCAAGACTGTGTGGCTCCAAGAATCAGCTTCACTGGGAAGGAGGGTGACACCAGCCTTGTAAAACATCCTCTGTAGTTTGCAAGGCTGTGTGAAGGCACTAGCTCATATTCTCTTTGCCCAGGAGGGATTCACAGGAAGGAGGTTCCGAACAAGTGGATTCACAGGAAGGAGGTTCCGAACAAGTGAATGCAAAGAAGGATAAAACCATTTAACACAAGATTAACACAGTAGGGTAAGGTCCTCAGTTCCAAGAAACAAGGCCCAGCACAGCCCTACCTGGTTGGTATGGCCTGGCCTCAGTGACTGCTTGTTAAATTATTTTTAATATTAGCACTGGTCAAATATTCCTCTAAAATCCTATTTTAAATTACCATATCATACCCTGTTATATGGTTTGGTAAATTGTTTAATGGCCACAAATTCCTCCCATCCCACTGTGCATGTGTCTTTGCAATGTGACTGTGCCACTCTTCCCATCCAGAAGTGAGTTTATTTCTTCACTCCTTTCAACCTTCACCAGCTTCTGGCTTGTTGCTTTCATCAATAGAATGTGGTGGAAGTGATGCTGTATGGTGTCTGGAGCCTAGGCCTCCAGAGACATTGCAGCTTCCACTTTCTCCTCTTTAGAATACTTTGCTGAGATTTCCATGGAAGAAAGCCAGGGTAGCTTAGTGGAGGATAAGAGGTCAAGTGGAGGGGCACCAAGGCAACCAAGTCCATAGCCATAACCACTGCCAGACATGTGAGGCCATCTTGAATTTTTAGACCAAGCAACCTCCCAGTGGAATGCAGCCACAGAGTGAGCCTGGGAGAAACCAGCAGAGGAACTGCCCGGCCAACTCACAGATTTGTGAGAAAAAAATAAATCATTGTTTTAAGTTACTAAGTTTGGGGCAGTTTGTTATGTAACATAGGATAATGAAACAATGTTTATACTTTAATATATTTTCTCAAAATGTATTTTTGGCAGTTTTTTCTTTCTTTTTTTGAGACAGGCTAGAGTGCCATGGGGTCAGCCTAGCTCACAGCAACCTCAAACTCCTGGGCTCAAGCGATCCTCCTGCCTCAGCCTCCTGAGTAACTGAGGCTACAGGCATGTGCCACCATGCCTGGCTAATTTCTTTTTCTATACATTTTATTTTATTTATTTATTTATTTATTTTTTTTTGAGACAGAGTCTTGCTCTGTGTGAGTGCCGTGGCGTCAGCCTAGCTCACAGCAACCTCAATCTCCTGGGCTCAAGCAATCCTGCTGCCTCAGCCTCCCAAGTAGCTGGGACTACAGGCATGCACCACCATGCCCGGCTAATTTTTTCTCTATATATTTTCTCTATATAATTTTTTCTCTATATATTAGTTAGCCAATTAATTTCTTTCTATTTTTAGTAGAGACGGGGTCTCGCTCTTGCTCAGGCTAGTTTTGAACGCCTGACCTTGAGCAATCCGCCCGCCTCGGCCTCCCAGAGTGCTAGGATTATAGGCGTGAGCCACCGCACCCGGCCTATATATTTTAGTTGGCCAATTAATTTCTTTCTATTTTTTGGTAGAGACAGGGTCTTGCTTTTGCTCAGGCTGGTTTCGAACTCCTGACCTTGAGCAATCCTCCCACCTCGGCCTCCCAGAATGCTAGGATTACAGGTGTGAGCCACCTTGCCCGGCCCCAAAGATCTCTTACATATCTTTCTTCCCAGCATACTCCTGTCTTATCGAGTTCCAGCTTTCTTTTTGAAAATAGGCAGACAGTTATGCATCATATCCACTTACACACATGAATGCACATGCATGCATGCACACACACATACACACACACACAGGGGTTTCTAAGAAAATGGGCAACAGGCAAGCACATGCATCCTTGGGATAAAAAACCTGAAGACTACAGTCTTCCTTAGGATCAACAGTCTTCTTTCTCATTTATCTTTTCTTATTACATTTTACATTTCAAAACTTCTTTCACAGCTAAGCAGCAGTGCTCATTGTGCCAAAGCTGCACACAGCTCAAACTCACGCTGGAGTTGTCCCTTCAGCACTTGAAATCCTTTAGCTCTGTCTTCCTCACTATGTGCAGCGATATACTTGTACACAGTGTCAGCCCTAACCCCACTGTCAAATTAATGAATTCAATTAAAAAAAACCAAAACACACTGGTGAACATACTATCTTTCTTAAGTAAGTTGGGGGAAAATGGGTCAGGGAAGAAGCCCCTCCCTCATGTCTCCCCCCATCAAGGGCAGCCTTCTCACCCCAATACCCCTCTCTGCAGCTGCTGGCCTGGCAGAAACAGAGCGAGGTCTTTTCCAGGTCTCTCATCCTCATCTAGTTACTACTTTCTTCAAAACGGGAAATCAATGCTGGACTCTTTCCCTTGCCAACCCCATATCAAGTCCTTTTCCCAACAAAAAGGGAGCCAAACACAGATTTCTCAGGCCCATGACAGTCCCCAAACATCAAGACAGATGTTTCCTGGTTTCACAGAGTGAAAACAGGAGGCTGAAGTGCTCACCCACATCCCAGCTCCCTTTGGGAAAAGCAATAAAGATGGGTCGGGTTTTCATGAAAGAAAAGGCTGGCATTCGCAGAAGGAGCGAAATCCCCTGTGCTGCCATCATTTTCCTGTCATCCCAGATGCTGAGAGAACACTTATACAACTTATTCCCCTATCCTCCTCCATGTTTCGGGGACTAGAATTTATTTTTTTTTGAGACAGATTCTCGCTTTGTTGCCCAGGCTAGAGTGAGTGCTGTGGCGTCAGCCTTTCTCACAACAACCTCAAACTCATGGGCTCAAACAATCCTGCCTCAGCCTCCCAAGTAGCTGGGACTACAGGCATGTGCCACCATGCCTGGCTAATTTTTTCTCTATATATATTAGTTGGCCAATTAATTGCTTTCTATTTACAGTAGAGACGGGGTCTCCCTCTTGCTCAGGCTGGTCTCAAACTCCTGACCTCAAGCAATCCACCTGCCTCAGCCTCCTAGAGTGCTAGGATTATAGGCGTGAGCCACCGCACCAGGCCCAGGGACTAGAATTTATCCCTTCATGCCACAGGCCCTGTGCTGGATAATGGCACCGTCTGCAGAAGGCTCCAGCAATGTCCAGGGAAGTCCTGTGGAATAGCACCTCTTTCTGAAGGGAGCACATCTTGGGCTCCCTCACACTTTGGCAGGAACTGAAGAACTCTGGATTTGGGTCTGAAGTCCTCTCAACTGAGCTGATGCAGGCCAGGGTCAGAGTGGGTTTGTGTGCAAGCTGCAGTGGGTGGGTGGGGGTGCCAGGAAGTGTTCATGTCAGGGGCTAAGAAAGTCTGGGGTATCATGGGAACAGAATGTTCTGGCCCAGTCCCTGAGCCATCCCCAAACCCCTCCCTCTTCTCTGGTCACTAACCAGTTTCAGCTGTGCACAGTCCTGGCCATCACTTCCCATATGGCTTCTAGGAACTTATGACTAATTAAAGGAGAGAGAGAGAGAGAGAGAGAGAGAGAGAGAGAGAGAGAGAGAGAGAGAGAGAGAGAGAGAGAGAGAGAGAGTAGGGTGGATCCTCCTAGAAACAGAGGTTTCCAGGGTAACAGCTGGGAAAACTCAATCCCACTCAGCCAAGGAAATCTCCCTGTCTCTTGACCCCCTTGGGGATCTGAGGGGAAAACAGGCCAGAGGCTAACACCACCCCCTCCCACATTTCTCTAGATCAAGGGCAGGGTCTGGGCCAGACCTAACTTAGTTACAGCTCACGTTTTTCTTACCTCCAGTTTCCAGCTTCAGGCTTACCTCATGCCTCTTTCTCCAGCTTCCTTGCCCCTCCGACCTCCACAGGGTAAGGATGTCTGTCAAAGGGGTGAGTGATGGTTTAGAGACTGGCTTCTCCTGGGCTCACAAACCTCTACAAACTTCTGTTCTCCACCCATAGCCCCATGGCCCCTGATCATTAGAAAATGCTCTCAGAAGTCTACCCTACTCCTTCCTGCTACATTTTAAAATATTTTAATTAAGAATATTTCTATAAAATTCTTCTGCAGGCTTGGTGAGTTGACTCATGCCTGTAATCCTAGCACTCTGGGAGGCTGAGGCCGGAGGATTGCTTGAGGTCAGGAGTTAGAGAACAGCTCTGAGCAAGAGCGAGACCTTGTCTCTACTGAAAAAAATTGAAAAAATTAGCCCGGCATTGTGACTTGGGCCTGTAGTCCTAGCTACTTGGGAGGCGAGGCAGGAGGATTGCTTGAGCCCAGGAGTCTGAGGTTGCTGTGAGCTATGATGATGCCACTGCACTCTAGCCTGGGCGACAGAGCAATACTCTGTCTCAAAACAAAAACAAAAACAAAAGCAAAACCTCTTCTGCCACAATCATGGGCAGAGAAGGAAACCAGTTTTCGGGAAGGGAACAAGCAAGCCAAAGGACCCAAGGGTTTTTTCTCTTAGAATCAAGTTCTCCTTTTGGGGCAGTCCAGCCACATGTCCTAACCCTTCCCACGCATTCCCATGTCTCCCTTAGTGAGAGATGACAAATTCAGAGGGAAAAAGAGCTGGGTCAGCCTGGCTCAAGGGGTAGGGGTTGGTGGAAGGGGTGGTCATGATGCTGTGGTGGGAACAATTAGTCATACAGTCCTTGCACATAGCTATGGGATGCAGGGGGTTTTTTGGCGTCATCATAGCTCACTGCAACCTCAAACTCCTAGGGGGTTTTGAGTGCCTGGGGGAGCTGAGGGGAGTCTGAAGAGTGCCATGCAAAGACCTCAGTTTTATTTTATTTTATTTTTGAGACAGAGTCTCACTCTGTTGCCTGGGCTAGAGTGCTGTAGCATCAGCCTAGCTCACAGCAACTTCAAACTCCTGGGCTCAAGCAATCCTTCTGCCTCAGTCTCCCAAGTAGCTGGGACTACAGGTGCACTCCACCACGCCTGGCTAATTTTTTTCTATTTTTAGTAGAGATAGAGTCTCACGGTTGCTCAGGCTGGTCTTGAACTCCTGACCTCAAGCGATCCTCGAGCCATGGCCTCTCAGAGTGCTAGGATTACAGACGTGAACCACCCTGCTGGCCAGATCTCAGCTTTACAGCCTGAGGCTCTGCTGATTCCTAGCTGTGAGACTTGAGGCTACCCATTAGAGACTTGGTTTCCTTTTGTGTAAAAAGGTGATAATATAGGCTCACACCTGTTGAGGTTTAAATGAGGTAAACTATTTGGCAGCTTTTACTATTGTACTCTCCCCTCTTCTGGTTCCTTAGTTGCTAGAATGTGGTTTGAACATTCCCCAGGCCTTCCAAGGCCAGAGTGAGTGCCTGCCCCTTACCTTATGGTAACCACCATGCCTATCCCTGACACACTAACACACACTTTTGTTTGTAGTTTGTTTACATGAGGTTTCTAAGGGGAGGGAGTAATTTGCTGTCATAGTCATCTTATTTTACCCCTTTCCCTTGCACTCCCCTTCCTGTCCCTGCCCCATTATCCTCAGTGGTTCCAATTGCTTTTTCCTCTGTCCCAGACATAGTCACCAGGGGGTGAGGCTAGGCAGGCAAAGCTGCAGCTGAACTCAGGTCTGCAGACAGTTTCAAGTCAATGCATCAAAATGTTATTAGCAGTTCTCTTTTGGGTAGAATTTATTGGTGGTTTTCATTTTCTCTCTTGTTTATTTTGATATTCTCCATATTTACTACAATAAATGATGGATAACTTTTAGACAGAATAAAGATAAGAAAACATTAGTCTGAAAACAATTATAATTTTCTTTTTTTTTTTTTTTTTTGAGACAGAGTCTCACTTTGTTGCCCAGGTTATAGTGAGTGCCGTGGTGTCAGCCTAGTTCACAGCAACCTCAAATTCCTGGGCTCAAGCAATCCTGCTGCCTCAGCCTCTTGAGTAGCTGGGACTACAGGCATGCGCCACCATGCCTGGCTAATTTTTTCTATATATATTAGTTGGCCAATTAATTTCTTTCTATTTATAGTAGAGATGGGGTCTCACTCTTGCTCAGGCTGGTTTCGAACTCCTAACCTGGAGCAACCTGCCCGCCTCACCCTCCCGGAGTGCTAGGATTACAGGCGTGAGCCACCGCACCCGGCCTATAATTTTCAATTGGTTCATGTCCTGTTCTTAAAAAAGGGACTAGAGGGTAGGGGGAAGAAAGAGGGAGAGAAGTGATGAGAAGAGCCCTGCAGGGGGCTGAGCAGGAGCTGGCTCCCAAACTCCAGCATTTCCTGGGTAGGCCAGCCTTGGTGATGGCCTCTGTCACTCATTGCTCAGAGGCTCTCTGTCCTTCCTTGACTGTCACTGGTCACTTGGGACTTAGTCACGCAATTGTTACCCAATTGGCTGGATGGGTCAGAAGGACCATCATCACTGAGGGCAGCAATGAGTCAGGAGTGTCCCCCTTGATCCTGGGCTGTGAAGGGTTTCCCTGTGGCCTCCCAGCCTTTCAGCCTAGGGTGTGGGAAGGGCTCAGAATTGGGGTCCTACTGAGAAGATAGTTCAGTAAGCCTTTTCCCCATTCCTATGTCTTTACTGTGCATTTGAACAATATGCCAATGTCATGTGATGTGTAAATGACTGTGGGACCTTCAGTAGCTCCTAACTATTGGAAAGAACACAGCTCTAAGAAGTCAGTGTGGAGAGAGCACGAGTTATGGAGTCAATAGAGGTATTTGAATATAGGCCAGGCTAGGTAGAAACTTCATGTTCTTGGTCAAGTTTCCATCTCTGACTCTTTATTTTATTTTATTTTATTTCGACGTATTATGTGGGTACAGACTTTAAAGTTTCAATAAATGCCTCTGACTCTTCATTTCCTCTTATAAAAAATAGCCAGAATATAGGCCAGGCAGGGTGGCTCTCGCCTGTAATCCTAGCACTCTGGGAGGCCAAGGCGGCCGCATTGCTCAAGGTCAGGAGTTCAAAAAATGGCCAGAATAATTCCTCCTTCCCATGAAGGTTGTGAGAATTAAATGAGATAATATATAAAGCACCTAGCACATAGCAGATATTTTTAAATGTAAGTTTTCTTCTTTCCCTTACATAGCATTTAAAGCCCTCTCTAAACTCTGGCTCCCACCCAGGTAATTCTTTTGACAAAGATTTATTAAGCACTTCTCTAAAGCATGGAGCGGGTCTGGGGTAGGCACTAGGGATTCAGTGGTGAACTAAGCAGTCCTGATTGTTCAGATTTACTCACGGAGTGCAGCAGGCTTTCAGCTCTGCACTTCTGCTCAAGACCTATACTCTTTCTGTCTCTTAGTAATCTTATCCCATCTGATTCTTAGCTGGCCTTCAAAGCCTTGCTTAAAACCTGCCTTCTTGGCCCGGGCCTTGGCCGGCGCGGTGGCTCATGCCTGTAATCCTAGCACTCTGGGAGGCTGAGGCGGGCGGATTACTCGAGGTCAGGAGTTCGAAACCAGCCTGAGCAAGAGCGAGACCCCATCTCTACTATAAATAGAAAGAAATTAATTGGCCAACTAATATATATATACATATATATAAATTAGCCGGGCATGGTAGCGCATGCCTGTAGTCCCAGCTACTCGGGAGGCTGAGGCAGGAGGATTGCTTGAGCCCAGGAGTTTGAGGTTGCTGTGAGTTAGGCTGACACCACGGCACTCTAGCCAGGCAACAAAGTGAGACTCTCTCAAAAAAAAATACAATGGGTTAGTAGCTGGAATAAAGTTCTGGTTAAGGAAGAAATTAGTGTCCCCACAGTGAGAGGAAGAGAAGGCACTTGTCTCCCATGCTCCGAAGATCAGCCTTCTTTGGGCAAAAGGGCAAGACGCTGGCATGTGGGCCAATGCTCTCTCCTTGTCTCAAGAAGTCAGGTTTTGGGGGAGCCAGGTGCTAAGGTAGGCACTGCCCCATCATCTTCCCCAGGTTGAGAAGGAGAGAAGGGGAAACACCGCGGAGGATAATGCTCCCCAACTGAGGTAGGAGAAGGGGGCTCAAACCTATGGGGCCCAGAGGAAAGGCCAACTAGAAACCCAACTACCCACTAATGAGGGTCCTGGGGGCTGGAGTATCCTGGAGCTCCTCTGTGCCCTTCTCCCCATCAAAAAGCTATCAAATGCAGTGGGGGTTCTCTGATTTTCTATAGATCCTACAAAAACAAAACCCCTTATTTTACCATGGTGAGGCACACTGAGGTGGGTATTTAAAAGGCTAATTGGGGTCCCTTCAGCCCCCTACCTGCCACCCAGGATGAAGGTGGTTGGTAGATGGGCTCGGTGCCCAGCAGGGCTCCAGCACCCAGGGTCAGGCCCAGCAGGAGACCAGTCAGGAAGAGTCCAACACTGCCTATAATCCTAGCACTCTGGGAGGCTGAGGCAAGAGGATTGCTTGAGCTCAGGAGTTCAAGACCAGCCTGAACAAAAGTGAGACCCCATCTCTACAGAAAAGAGAAAAATTAGGTGGGCATGGTGGCATGCACCTGTAGTCCCAGCTACTGGGGAGGCTGAGGAAGGAGGATTGCTTGAGCCCAGGAGTTTGAGGTTGCAGTGAGCTATAATGACCCCACTACACTCTAGTCTGGGTGACAGAGTAAGACTGTCTCAAGGAAAAAAAAAAAAAAAGAAAAGAAAAAGGTTGGCCGGGCGTGGTGGCTCACGCCTGTAATCCTAGCACTCTGGGAGGACGAGGCAGGCGGATTGCTTGAGGTCAGAAGTTCGAAACCAGCCTGAGCAAGAGCGAGGCCCCGTCTACTAAAAATAGAAAGAAATTAATTGGCCAACTAATATATATATACATATATATAAATTAGCCGGGCATGGTAGCGCATGCCTGTAGTCCCAGCTACTCGGGAGGCTGAGGCAGAAGGATTACTTGAGCCCAGGAGTTTGAGGTTGCTGTGAGCTAGGCTGATGCCACGGCACTCACTCTAGCCTGGGCAACAAAGTGAGACTCTGTCTCAAAAAAACAAAAACAAAACAAAAAAATCCCTGCCTTCTCAGTGAACCTCCTCATGGCTCCAGGACCTCTAGGATGGGTTACCTCCTGCTTGGCATCCTAGCTCCCCTCTCTCCAGGTGTTTGAGTGTGCCTCACCCTATCTGTAAGCTCCCTGAGGCCAGGCTCTGGGCCCTTTATTTCTTTCTGCTCTTGTTTTTGTTGTTGTTGCTATTGTTGAGACAACCCAGAACAATCCCTGGGTTGAATGAAGTGATGTCACTGTAGCTCACCACAAGTTTCAACTTCTGGGCTTATGAGCGATCCTTCTGCCTCATCCTCCTGGGTAGCTGGGACTACAGGTGTGCGCCACAATGCCCGCCTGGGTTTTGTGGTTTTGTGTATTTTTTTTAATGTTTGTTTTTGTTTTTTCTGTTTTGTAGACACAGGGTCTCACTGTGCTCTGGCTGGTATTAAGCCCCTGAGCTCCAGCTATTTTCCCGCTTCAGCCTCCCAGAGAGCTAGGATTACAGGCGTGAGCCACTGCGCCAGGCCTGTGCTCTTGTTAAACCCCACATCCACTCACATCTTCTGGGCTCATTAAATGCTTGAAAAAATGACTTTTTTATTAAAGCAGACATAAGTAGGCTTAAAGATCATTTAAGTTACCATTGTAGTCTCAGATGCAAAGAAACAGAGACCTCACCCTTGATTCCTTCACCTGAAACTCAAGCTACCTCAGTTGTCTCCTACCTCTTAGCTTTGATTTATTTATTTTCCTATTCCAGAGCATACAGGGACACTTGAAGGTTGACCCAGAGGGATTTGACGGCCCAGGGTCCCTGGGGCACAGGAATGTCCAACTGCAGGGCATGGCTCTCCAGAGATTCTGCTTTTCATACTGCCAGGATGCTCACTCCAGGCCAGTATAAAACATCTTCCCATCTCCAGCAGAGGACACTAGGAAAAGGGTTTAGGGGCTCTCCTTTGCTTCCACTCTCTGGGAGGGCAGGGGTTAATGGTGAATTGCAACATATCTCTGGGCTGAGTCACCTCCCACTGCCACTTCCCCCCCAATTCCCCTCAGTTGAAGTTTTAAAAAGAGGACCAGAGGCTGGAGAGTACAAAGAACTAGAGGTAAGAGCCCCCCTGCCTAGCCCTGCTCCCTAGACTCCCAGAAATCTCAGGTCAGAGGGCACACACAGCCTCAGGAGCTCTTGTCCGGTGGGACCATGGACTGGCGGCAGCTGTGGCTGGGTTTCCTACTCCCCATGACAGTGTCACGCCGGGCCCTGGGGCCTGCAGAGAAGGAGGCAGCTGTGGTGAGTCCCTTGGGAAAGAGAGACCCAGGACAGGGGAGGGACAAGGGTTACTGCTCCACAGTCCCATCCAAGCCCCTCTCCTGACCTTCAGCCTGCCTGCCATTCCCTTGCTTTCTCTGCCCCATGGTCTTCCCTGCCCATCTCCTGCTACTTTCCCTTGTGCCACCTGAGTCCCTTCTCTAAGGTGCATCTCTTTAGTCCCTCCAGACTTGGCCCCTCTTCTCCTAAGGGGCTTGTTAGGTCACTAAGAAGCTTTACCCTGAGACTAATCTTCTTTTTAACCTGCTTACCTACCTCCAACCCATCATAGGAGTACCTGTTACAATATGGGTACCTACAGAAGCCTCTAGAAGGACCCGATGACTTCAGGCCAGAAGATATCACCGAGGCTCTGAGGTGAGAGGTCATAAGGTACATGCCTTCAAGACTGAGGTCACAAGGTCTTCTCTCTTTTCATTCCTTCTTCTCCTCAGTCTCACCTCTACCTGACCCATATTCGCACTGGGGACCTAGAGGATGGGTGGCTATCATTGCTAGGGTGGTGGGGCATGGGCTGAGAAGGGAATTCAAAGATGAGGAGCACAGTCATCAGATCTTCCTATCCCCTAAGCACTCTGTTGTGTGTTCCATCCCACATCATATCTCAAATACTAATACTTAGCTATAGCCCACATGAAGTATAATTTAATGTAGAACTGCAACTTGAGTTGAATTCTTAACATGATGTTACCTTTTGGGGACATTTAATTCAGCATTTATTCATTTCTATTCTATAGTTTTATATTTTAGATGTAATGGATTAGTTTTCTTTTTGCTCTCAGATATGTTTAGCTCCCTTGAAAAGCCCATAGGCCCAAAGATAGTCCATAGGTGCATGAAATTGCCCCAGTGCGGGCTGGGCTGGGAAGGGGTCCACCCAGCAGGGGAGAAGCTGAGGGAGGACAGGCCATTGGGTGGAAGCACTGGTGGGAAGATCTGCAGAGCAGGGGCCCAGAGACCTCCCCAAGGCAGATGGTTAGAAATTGCAGTAGGGGAGGAAGGCTATACCTGAGGGCAAACTTACTCAGATAACAGAGACTGAAAATGGGGAGGTGAAGTGGGAGTATCACCATTTCTGCAGAATGGAAGAGAAAGTCCCAATTATGAGGACTAGGGGCCGGAGTGACCCCATCAGTTTCAGAGATTCTGTACCACTCTTGGCTACCACCTTGGGCAGCAGGAGGCCAAAGAGCTATTAGTTCCCAGTCATTCTAGATTCCCCTGCTTTTTTGAACCCACCTCTCTCCCTCTTTCAGAGCTTTTCAGGAAGCATCTGAACTGCCAGTTTCAGGTCAGCTGGATGATGCCACAAGGGAGCGCATGAGGCAGCCTCGTTGTGGCTTAGAGGATCCCTTCAACCAGAAGACCCTTAAATATCTGCTGCTGGGTGAGGACTGAGCTTAGGAAAGGGGAGAGGAGAGGGTGGTGTGGCTCTGGAGTTCGGGTGGCATCAGGACCACCTGGACCAGCTCAGTGTTGAATGGATGACCACTTGGTTATCACCTGCCTAGAGGGGTTGTGAGCGCCCAGACCTAGGGAAGCTTTCTGGGGTTGGCAGAAGGATCTGTGTTTCTAATCTATTTTTTGGTCTATTAACCAGGCCGCTGGAGAAAGAAGCAACTGACCTTTCGCATCTTGAACCTGCCCTCCACCCTCTCAGCCCACACAGCCCGGAAAGCCCTGCTTCAAGCCTTCCAATACTGGAGCAATGTGGCCCCCTTGACATTCCGGGAAGTGCAGGCTGGCTGGGCTGACATCCGCCTCTCCTTCCATGGTCGCCAAAGCCCCTATTGCTCCAATACTTTTGACGGGCCTGGTAGGCAATATTCTCAGCTCCCACCTTGTAGACCCCTGAAATGACCTTTGTCTCCTTTGACTCTGGAACCTTAATGTTCAGGCTTCTACTTGTGCCACCTGCACCCTACACTCTCTAATCACCTTCTACTTGTGCCACCTGCACCCTATACTCTCTAACATTCTCTAGGGGAACAGTTGGTCACATACCTGTGGCCTTACCAAGCCACCTCTTTGAAGCTTATGCCTCCTTCCCTGCCTTGAATTCCCCTACTCTAGGCACACCTTGGAGAGGACTGGGCCAGTGGCTGGGGAGATAAAGGGACAGTGATGGGAATCCTTGAGAGAACTGAAGCATCATAGGGGAATCCAAAAGGAGAGAAAGAAGCATCCAAGAGACAGTGAATATAGCTGGGGAAATTTGAATTAGAGTTTATAACTGGCAGGGTATGCTTAAACCCAGTGGGCTCTGACCTCTTTTGTGTTTACCTTTGCCTTTGTCCAGGGAGGGTCCTGGCGCATGCCGACATCCCAGAGCTGGGCAGCGTGCACTTCGATGAAGATGAGCTCTGGACTGAGGGGACCTACAGGGGGGTGAACTTGCGCATCATTGCAGCCCATGAACTGGGCCATGCCCTGGGGCTTGGGCACTCCCGATATACCCAGGCACTCATGGCCCCTGTCTACGCTGGCTACCGGCCCTACTTCAAGCTGCACCCAGATGATGTGGCTGGGATCCAGGCTCTCTATGGTCAGTCCCTCTGCCTAGTGAGCATGAAGGTCAGTCTGACCAGCATCTCTCTAGGCTTGAAGAGACATATCTACCCTCCATGGAGGCAAATAGCTTGGTTTCTTTCTTTTCCTCTGGTCCAATTATTCAGGATTCTTCATTATCAGGAACAGATTCTCTCTGACTCTTCCATTTCTAATCTTCCTTCCAGGCCTCTCTCCCCTCACACCCATTCTTGGAGATGGAGGATGCACATTCTAGCAAGCCTCCTTCCCCCTTTCTGGTGCTTCTCAAACCTAAAATGTGTCTCCTGCTGATATCAATATGATATTGCCAACTATGAAGGAAAACTCTTTAGGATTAGTTTTTCCCCTCTCTATGGTGCCTCTGAGCAGATCTTACAGGAGATGAGTGGCAAGGTGCCATGAGTTCTCTCCCTAAATAGCATTATTCACCTTTCAGGCAAGAAGAGCCCAGATACAAGGGATGAGGAAGGAGAAGAGATGGACCTACCCACTGTATCTCCAGTGCCCACAGAACCCAGTCCCATGCCAGACCCCTGCAGAGGTGAACTGGATGCCATGATGCTGGGTGAGGCCCTTTCCCTCCAGACTGTTGGCAGGCTGTGGGGGCAGCCCACTGACCCCGAGGCCTGGACAAATAGGAATGACATGAGACTTCAGCATGAGCAATAGAGGTTAGACCCCAAGCAGGGGTAGAAAGGAGACTTGTGGCATGGAGAGGGAGGGTTCAGAGCCAAATTAAAGGTGGGCCAGCCAGGTGTTTATAAATGTTGCTACCCTCTCAGGGCCATTAGAACACATCTGGAAACACAGCAAGATGGAGAACAATATGTTAACCAGAATGCCTATTAGAGAGGGTGTTGCACGTGGTTGGAAGGACAACTTGGAAGCCACTTGGAGTAGAGGGAGAGGTTCTCAAGGAGGAACAGCTATCTGCTGTTTTGTTGAGTGGACCAAAGCTGAAATGCTCTGAACAACAACAAAGAGTTCTTGGTCCTCCTTCTCTGCCTTTAATTTTCTCTTTGAATTAAAGTTGAATGAATTTTTGAATCGGCCTTTAGGAGGAGGGCAAATTATTAGCCGGCTTGAGACACCCTCGAGTTTCTATTTGATCTCTTTTCGACTTGTTGACACATCTTTACTCTCAGGGCCCCGTGAGAAGACCTATGCTTTCAAGGGGAACTATGTGTGGACTGTGACAGATTCAGGGCCGGGCCCCTTATTCCGAGTGTTTGACCTTTGGGAGGGGCTCCCTGGGAACCTGGATGCTGCTGTCTACTCTCCTCGAACACAATGGATTCACTTCTTTAAGGGTAAGGAGGCTAGTTACAGCGTCTGAGGAGGGCCTAGTCTTACAAAAGCCTTAAAGAAAGGGAGGGAGAAATTTCTGAAAGGGTGGAATGGGGGGACCAAAGCTATCACCTGAAGACAGAGATGATTTGTTCTTTCATCACTCACTCTCAGAAGACAAGGTGTGGCGCTACATCAATTTCAAGCTGTCTCCTGGCTTCCCCAAGAAGCTGAATAGGGTAGAACCTAACCTGGATGCAGCTCTCTATTGGCCTTTCAACCAAAAGGTGTTTCTCTTTAAGGTATGAAGTTCAAAACAAGGGCAAATTGCTTTTTAGGAGGGGCGGGCAACCTCATGCTGGGAAGCAAAGACTTGCTCTTAAAGGGAGATCTGCAATTGCAGTGGGCTGGGGGTAAACCCCTGGGGATCCTTAAACTCTCTCCTCATCCTCCCCTTCTCCCCACCCACCCTACACCTAGGGCTCTGGGTACTGGCAGTGGGATGAGCTAGCCCGCACTGACTTCAGCCACTACCCCAAACCAATCAAGAAGTTGTTCACGGGAGTGCCAGACCAAGTCTCGGCTGCTATGAGTTGGCGGGATGGTCGAGTCTACTTCTTCAAGGGCAAAGAGTACTGGCGCCTCAACCGGCAGCTTCAAGTAGAGAAAGGCTATCCCAGAAATATCGCCCACAACTGGATGCACTGTCATTCCCAGACTCTAGATGTTACCCCGTCGAGTGGAGACAACATTCCCTCAGCCACAGATACTACCTTGAACACTGACCACTCACCCACAGATACAATCTTGGATGTTACACCCTCAGCCATAGGCTCCACTGCTCTTATATTCCCTGTTAATGTCACCCTCCCAGAAGCTTGAGACCAGGAATCAAATGTCTACTCACTAGACCATGCAGGTGCTGTAGCAGGGGCATGACCACAGACCTCCAGCCTCCAACAGTTCCAACTCTGGCTACCGTTGTACTGCACTCTTTCCCTTCTGGGAAGCGCCCCCTAACTTGGATTCAGCCCACAGTTCCATCCTGTCCTAGATAACACTTCCAATTTTGTCATCTACTCTCTGGAGGACAATGGTGGAGGGAGGTGTCAATCAGGCCTTTACCCAACAGGAGGCAACAGCTGATGTGGCTGGATGCCTGGGTCCTTGTTCTTCCTAACGTGCAAGAAAACAGCATGGCCAGTAAAATGAGCAAGGGCTTTGGAATCCTTGAGAACCACATTTACTTGCTTATGACTTTGGGCAAGCTAATTAACCGTGGATTCTCTATTTGCAAAAATAATTAATATCAATCCTGCAGGGTTATTGCATTAAATGAAATACACGTGAAGTGCCTGGCACAGTGTTTGGCACATTAATAAAGACTAACTCCATTTTCATAAGAGAGGACTGAACAGCTCTTCCTCTAGCTATGTGGATGTGTAATACCTTTAGTTATCTGTCTGACAAGGGTACCTCTATCAAATCTTTAGGGGGAAAATTTGTCAAGATGGCTAATTCTTTGTTTTGGGGTACAGAGAAAGAAAAGATCAGTAACAGGAGGCTGGACTCCCTGGTTCAGTATTCAATGTCATTTTATTCATATGCTCCCATGCTCTCCCTCCCTCCCAACATAACCTTGCTGCCCAGGGGAGGGATATGTCTTTCTTTATGTGCCTGGAGAACCAGGGAATGGATCTTGGGCTGGAGTGTCAGAGCAGGGAGAGTTAGAATGGGTTAGTAGGCCGGGCTCAGTGGCTCACGCCTGTAATCCTAGCACTCTGGGAGGCCAAGGCGGGCAGATCGCTCAAGGTCGGGAGTTCAAAACCAGCCTGAGCAAGAGTGAGACCCCGTCTCTACTAAAAATAGAAAGAAATTAATTGGCAAACTAAAAATATATAGAGAAAAAATTAGTCGGGCATGGTGGTGCATGCCTGTAGTCCCAGCTACTCGGGAGGCTGAGGCAGGAGGATTGCTTGAGCCCAGGAGATTGAGGTTACTGTGAGCTAGGCTGATGCCACAGCACTCACTCTAGCCTGGGCAACAAAGCAAGACTCTCTCTCAAAAAAAAAAAAGAAAAAAGAAAAGAGAAAGGTTATTTGGGTATAGGTATAGGCCCTCCATGGTTTGGAGGGAATGGGAATTAGGGAGTCATTTTCTTTGGGGACTAGTGCACCTCTATTATTGGACAGAGGTAGATACTCATACTTTCTTTCCTCCCCCTTACCCACAAGACTTCTCTCTATCTGTCCTTGAAACATATCCCTACAGGACTGGTCTGGGTTGGAGCACAGATCCTAGCCCCAAGTCCAGGAGGTGGGAAAGTTTGTGTGGGGGTCTTGCGTGCTCAGGCCCTGCCCACCTAGTGTTCCCATGCCCTCACTATGGGTGGAGGCAAAAGTGGAGGTTTAGGCTCAGGTCTGGGTAGAACCAGAATGTGTGGTGAGGGGTACAGTGGAACCACAGTCAGAGTCCAGGTCCAGGATGGTGTGAGGGGATGTCGCCTGGGGGCCTGGTCCCAGCTGGCGCTCTCGAAGACTCTGGAGATAACTCTGGAGGTACACAGGGCAGAGAGGGCAGAAGGAGGGCCTGGGTCAGAGCCCCCTTCCCACCCCAACCATCCCTATATGCCCTCTGCCTCATCCCCCAGGGTGTCCCATCTCCCCTACTCACTGGAGCCAGACTGTCAGCAGGGCTCCGGGCATTGTGGGGGGACTGGCGCCGATAGCTGCTCTCACAAAGCCCCACCCCAGAGGGTGTCCGGTGCCACTTGGCCTCTTGTTGATGGATCCGAAGGAGTTGGAGATGCCTCCGCTGGTGGCTCAATACCACTGCTTGAGAGGGAGCAATACAGACTCAAGGAGGCCTCTTTAGACCCTGAATCCCACCCTGAAATGCACTCACACTCTAGAATAACCCATTTGGCCTTCCTGTTATGGTTTTCTCAAACTCACCTTCCTCCCATTTATTGTAAAAGAAACTCTTTGCAATTCTACTCTTTCCTTCTAGACTTCCCTGAGATCCTCCTTTCCTTCCCTAATAGTTCTCAATAACTCTTCTTTGCTTCCTCTGAAAATTCTCTTCCCATTCTTACCCAGACCTTCTTTGGCTCCTTCAGCTCTAACTTATTTTCAATGTCCTGCCCCATTCACATTAGACATCCTCCCCCACCCTCTTCCCTCAAGTATATTTCTCCCCTTCTCCTCCTCAAGCATAAGAACTGGGGACAGGAACAGGCACAGGTTGGCGATTTTGTACCACGGCACTAACTCACCGTTGTTGTGGACTCCATGTTCCTCAGCCATGAGCTTCCACTGGGCCAGGGCCCCAAGGGCCCCCAAGGCTGGCCAGGTCCCCAGCAAGACCCAGCTATACCAGCAGAGAGGAGGCAAGGCTGGAAGTGCCTGCAGGCGTTGGCCCAACCGACTGCCCAGTGCTAGCCCCTCCAGGAAGTAGTCAGCACAGGCCACCAGCACCGCAGCACCCAGCATGGCTGTGCCCAGAGTTGTGAATAGACGTGGCCACCGAAGTGTGAGCAGGGCTCCCAGCAGTGCCAGCCCCACCAGCCCCCCGCCTGGCACCCAGGCTGAAGGTGGTTGGTAGATGGGCTCGGTGCCCAGCAGGGCCCCGGCACCCAGGGTTAGGCCTAGCAGGAGACCAGTCAGGAAGAGTCCAACACTGCGAACCAGCATGGTGACCAGACCGCAGAGGAGTCCAATGCCTAGCGCGATGCCTGCGCTCACCTCCAGGCTCAGCTGTGTCTCCAGCACCCGCTCCTTGTGGCACAGCAGGAAGATCACCAGAGCTCCTGACAGCAGGCCCGAGAGAAACATCACTGCCTTGAAGCAGCGGTAGCCTGGGAAGGGAGGTGGGAGGCACTGAGAGGTAGAAAAGGGGTTCTATAGGGTCGGCTCTGATGAATTTGAAGGGAGAGGAATGGCTAGCCAGAGAAGCAGAAGACAGAAGCAGCACACCAAGGGACCTCAAAGCCAGGAGCAGAAAGGGATAATCTCAGGGAGGGCAGGGGGGCTTTTTAGGAGCTGTGAGGGAATGGGAGGGAAAATCAGGAGGTAAGATGAATGCATTGAGGGGAATAAGTATAGAAAGAGGGTCTAGTCCTTCCTGGGATGGCAGATAGGAAGAAATTAGCACAGGCTGATTCAGGTTTTGGGGGAAGGGTGAGAAGCCTTAAGCATGGAAGATAATTTAGGAATGGAGTTTTGAGGTAGGAAGCAAGAAGAGGGCAAATGATAGATGCCAGAGGTCAGACCCAGAGGACATGGGCATGGAGGATGGGCAAGAAGCTGGCAAGAGCAACATGGGCCACACTAAAGATAGGCATCTCCTGGTAGAGGAGGCAAGGTAACCCAGGAGCAAGGAAGAAAGCTGGCATCATCCTTAAGGGTGACAGTCTTGGGTAGCTGCCCCCCAGGACCTTGGTCCTGCTCTCACCGAAGCAGCAGTAGATGATTCCAAAACAGCAGCAAAGGGCACACACCAAGGCAGGTGCCAGTTCAGGATTGTCCTGGGGTTCCAAAACGCAACTTGGTTCTGGAGGCTCTGGGAGTTGTTGATTAAAGGGCCTGGATTCGGACATCACAGCCAGGGGCAGCAAGGCTTCCTCCATGGCCAAAGAGAAAGTGGTCACAGAGTGGGAGGTCACTGTCAGCTCCTCTCATCCATCCATGAAAGTCTTGAAGGGGCTGGGGAAACCTGCAAAGGGGTAGAGGGCAGAAACTCAGGTGACCATGAATCCTGAGGACTCTGTATCTCTATTTCTTTTGAAGAAGGGTCAATTTTGGGAGGGAGCATGACCCCGTTGGGATAACTGAAGAAATCTACAGGATTGGGTTGAGGGGAACATGGTGTCTCTTTACTGCCCTCTGAAACAAGAACACTAAGTAAAATTTAAATGAAAATCTCATTAGGCAATGAGCATTTGTCTGCCTTCCAGCTTTCTAGGGTGAGGGTGGGAGTGGCAGGAAACCCTGGCTGTGTGGAAGGAGGGGTGCAGAGACACTAAGGGGTCTGGGAGCTAGAGCCCCAGTAGCCTGTTCCAGTGGAAAAGAAAGCTTGACCCATCTGCAGCTGGGACTCTATGCTACCCCACTGGATTGGGAATGGTGGGGTTAATAGAGAGGGGAGAGGGAGGAGGAAGAGGAGAGATGAATCATGGTAAGGTCTCCCAACAGCTGCTCAGAACCCTAGGAAAGAAAGAGAGAAAAAAACAGACACCAAGAGTTTGAGACAAGGAATTAAGTTGAGACAGTCATCCACAATTTGTCGGGATTTTGAAGCCTCAATCTCATGCCTAGATAAAGTTGTTGGGGGAAGGGGCACTCTTCAAATCCCACAGACCCTCATGGAATAAGCAGGCGCCTTGCCTACGGCCATCTCACGTAGTGGTAGTCACTTGGTCCTCCCTTCAGGACACTGGTGGCACTCTTCCTACACTACCCTTCCCCCAGGGGTGTCAGGATTGCCAATGGTATTTGAATTCAGATCCGGAAAGGAGGACACCAAGAAGGGGCTGGCATTTGGGGCACTGTGGTGGCATGGGTGCAGGCACTTTACTTCAGCTGTCTTTTGGACATCAAGGTCCTAAAAGGCTAGAGGGTTGGCTTGGGGAATTCTTCGGGCTCCTCGCCTCAATCAGCTTGGAAGTCTGAGGACCCTAAACAAGAGGAGGTTGGGGAGGGGGTGTTAACTACTCACCACCCTGCCAGGGCTGAGGAGAGGAGGGGTGGAAGTGCTTTCCTAGACCCCCAGCTGCATCCCTGCCCGGAGGTCCTAGGCGCCCGGGCGGCTGTTGGTGGAGGGCAGCCCAGGGCCACTCTGTTCGTTGCCCCCTAAACTCTTGCGAGTCGTAGCCCAAGCCCTGTGAACTAAATGTAACTAGCTACGGGAGTGGAGGAAGGGGACAGGGTGTGTGAGTGTGTGTGTGTGGGGGGGGTGGGGGGAGTGACATCACGGGGCGGGCCCCTCCAACCGTTCTCCTGTGTGTCGGGGGGACCTAGGTTGCCTATTGCTCTAGTCTAGGACCAGAGACCCCGAACCACATAGTAGGGAAGGGTCTAGGGAGGCATCGCAAGAGTTTCTGGGAAAGGTTTCTGAATTCTTAGGAGATGATTCGACAACTCAAAGCTCTCAAATCCCCAGCTGGGGTCCCAGCGCCCCCCTGGACCCAGCTTGGTTTCTTCCACTTCTCAAAGAATTGGAGTATTGTCTTCTGGAGAGTCGGGTGGTCGGGATCGGGGATCCGGGGAAGGGACTTTTACTGGTCTGGGAGAGCCGGCGGGGGATTCATGGGTGGAATAACTTGTGGAGCAAGATGGGGCCTAGAATGGGCACTGACAGGAGCGCTGTAAGGCTAGCAGCATGTGCAGAAAAGGGAACCGCCGGAGAGGGGACATAGCTGGGTCTGCGTGGGGGCGGGGGCGCGTAACGACGTCGACAGAATCGCTTGGTATGCAGATGAGATGCAAAGCAGCATGCAGAAGAGTTCAGTGTTCTTTGGCACTCGGCTATGGTTCTGAGCCCAGCGGAGCTACGCTCCCAGTCCCCGGTACTGCTCCGTGACCGGGCCTAGGAGCTGCGTCCAGAGCCGCGGATCCGGGCCGTAGGAGCTGCAGTTATAAAAGGGCAGCTCTCCAGCTGGGTCAGGAGCGGGGGAGGCTGAGGGTTGCTGCGAAAGGAGTGGCAGCGCTGCCGACCCTGGGCGGGGGCTAGGCCGAGGCACCCTCTCCTGCGCTCCACCTCCGCTGAATACAAAGGGGCCTCTGTCCTCGCTGCAGCCGGCAGGGAAAGAATCAGGGCAGTGACTCCTTTGAGCTCCCTGGTTTTGTCTGCAAGGGAAACAGACTATGTGTGGCTTAGTGGCTGTCCTTCATCTCCCAGTTTCGGCAAAGCTCGGGAATACAACCAGAGCAATCCTGAGAGTCTGCCCCCAGTTCGCAGGCGTTGGTGCGCAGCCCACTTGCTTCGCTTCCAGCGGTGCAACTCGCAGAGATCCCATTCCAGCACGCGGAGGGCGACAGCAGAGGGCCCTTTAAGGGGCGGGGCCAGCGCTTCCCTAAGACCACCTCCTCTGATTTGACTCAGCGCTTGCTGGACTGGCTCGCGCCTTGGCCAACCGCTTTTTCTTTTCCTTCCCTTCTCTTCCCTGTTGACCCCGGAAGTGGAAGTCGGCGCAAGTCGGCGGCCGAGGGGGGACGGAAGGCGGAAGCAGAGTGTGAGCGGGAGGCGGAGCCGGGGGAGCTGCTCTCGTAGCTCCCCCTGGCCCCAGGCCCAGTTGCTCGAGGGGGAGGAGTTACCGCCGCTCTTCGGTACGTTACCTTCGCCCCTTCTACCCATCCGGTGTGTTCCCTGGTAGTCTTTTTCGGGGTCGATTCTAAGCTCCGCCCCCAGGTTTTCCTTAAGGGCCGCACAGTCTCCACCCTTTTCTTGGAGTCTGCGGCCCCCCTTTCCGGCCGTCTTTCCTTTTTTCCTAAGAGTGACCCCCCGACCACACCCTTTGCGGTAGCTCGTTTTTTTTTTTTTCTGCTTGAAGATTATAGCTTTCTGGGGAAAGAAGAAAAACTTAAGGGATTTGGAGGAGGGGGGGAGGGAGTAAACAGGGCTGTGGTTAGTGTGTAGTTCTGGCCTATTGCTAGGGGTAGCAAATGCCCCAGAAGAACTTGGGAAGACACGGGAGATGGGTGCATTAAATGTGCCTCCAATTTAAGATTATTTAACACTTCTCTCGGTCCCATCCTTGACCATTCCTACCTTGATATCTTTGTTACAGGCATCAGAACTTATCATGATGGCTGTGACCTAAGACCCTCAGGAAGCCCCGGGGTCATGGCCCAGAAGCACCCCGGAGAAGGAGGGTTGTGTGGAGCCCACCACAGTGGTGGTGCCCCCCTCAGGACTTTAGGACCCTCTGTGGACCCTGAAATACTTTCATTCTCAGGACTCAGGGATTCAGCAGAGACTCCTAATGGTACCCGCTGCCTCACAGAGCACTCTGGTCCTAAGTACACACAGCCCCCAAACCCAGCCCATTGGTCGGATCCAAGCCATGGCCCCCCAAGGGGTCCAGGACCACCTAGGGACGGAGAAGACCCTGATCAGAGTGAGGCATCTTCAGAAGAAGAGTCAGGAGTGGACCAGGAACTCTCAAGGGAGAATGGGGCTGGTTACCAGGAGGATGGGAACCCTTCTTTTCTTTCCATTCCATCTGCTTGCAACTGCCAGGGAACCCCTGGAATCCCTGAAGGGCCTTACTCTGACGGAGGAGATGGCTCTTCTAGCAACTTTTGCCACCACTGTACCTCTCCAGCCTTGGGGGAAGATGAAGAGTTGGAAGAGGAATATGATGATGAGGAACCTCTTAAGTTCCCCAGTGATTTTTCACGTGTGTCCAGTGGAAAGAAGCCCCCATCCCGCAAACAGCGGCACCGCTTTCCAACCAAGGAAGATACTCGGGAGGGTGGACGTAGAGATCCCAGATCCCCTGGTCGACATCGGCTAGGGCGGAAACGAAGTCAGGCAGATAAGCGCAGAGGCCTGGGATTGTGGGGAGCAGAGGAACTATGCCAGCTTGGACAGGCGGGTTTCTGGGGGCTGATTGAACTGCTGGTATTGGTGGGAAAGTATGTAGAAACTTGTGGCCATCTCATCTATGCATGCAGGCAGCTGAAAAGCAGTGATCTGGACCTTTTTCGAGTTTGGGTGGGAATCTGGGCAGGGCGGCTGGGTGGCTGGGCCCAGGTGATATTCCAATTTCTAAGCCAGGGGTTTTACTATGGGGCAGGGTTGTTTACCCGTCTCCTTAGGCTACTGGGTGCTTTGCTGCTTCTGGCTGTAGCCCTCTTTTTGGGCTGTCTACAGTTGGGCTGGCGGTTTCTGGTGGGACTTGGTGACCGATTAGGCTGGAGGGATAAGGCCACCTGGCTCTTCTCTTGGTGGGATTCTCCTGCCTTGCAGCGTTGCTTGACGCTGTTGAGAGATAGCAGGCTGTGGCAGCAGCTGGTAAGAATAGTTCAGTGGGGCTGGCTGGAGTTGCCTTGGGTCAAACAGAGGACTAACAGGCAGGGGAATACACCTGTAGCTAGTGGGCGCTACTGCCAGCCTGAAGAGGAAGTGGCTCGACTGTTGACCATGGCTGGGGTTCCTGAGGATGAGTTAAACCCTTTCCATGTGCTGGGGGTTGAAGCTACAGCATCAGATGTTGAACTGAAGAAGGCCTATAGACAGCTGGCAGTGATGGTGAGTACTTTCTGCTCAGTTTCCTTTTCCTCTTTTGTTCCCATATTTTATTTTCTAGTTCAATTTTAGGGAGAGTGGAATAAAGGGAAGGCAGAGTGAAAAGTCAACTTGAAGCTGAAGAATAACATATTCTTAGGAAAGAGTCATAAAAACTTTAACTCCTCTACTATGGGATCTGATCTTCCCTCCATTTTCAGTTTTTTGAACCTGGTATATCAGGCAGAGTTGAACTCACTAACCCTGGAATATTTAGGTGAAGTCCCTCTAACTAGGGTGAGGAAGAGGCCTGGTCAGAGAGTACCTCAGTTGCTCTCCCCTTAACAAATGAGGGGGTCTTTTTAAACATGGAGAAACCCAGCTATTTCTCCCAGAAAGGCAAGTATGGACTTAGTGTGGGGAAGGTTCAGGGAATGCCTGTGAATGATTATTCCAGGACCAGGTAGAAAAAAACGAGCTGTTTCAAGACCAGCAACTCAGAATAGGAAAGGGAAGGAAAATGTCATACATGAAAATGTTGCTTTTATTGATGAGGGGGTATACAGGTGGAAGTTGTGATGGACCGTATGCTTAAGGGAAATGGTTTAATACAAGCATGCAATCAAATTGCTATTAGAAGTAGATACTAAGTTGCTGTTATTAGATATGTGATTGTTATTCCTATTTCTGTACAAGAAAAACTATATTATAAAAATAAGTAATGTGTGTAAATTGTGTTGGAGGCACATTTTTACCGAGTATGTGGAGCTGGACTGGCAAAACATAACAGTGTGCAAATTACCTCAATGATTGCATGACACCAAAGAGAAATGGGCAACTAAAGTTTCTATTAATGATTAAAGGTACAATAAACCACCAAGCCTGTAAATTACTGAAGGACTAAACTACTTTGGTGAGAAATGCATGCTCCTTAGTGGACAGCCTGGGATTCTTAGAGTAGGTAACAAACTGATTACCCTCAAATTGTTAATAAGAGTAGACCTCTTTTCTTACCTTCATGTCTTTTAGCAGACATCCTCTCTTGGGGAATATCATTCTTACAAAACCTCTCATTTTTCAACTTAACTTTTCTTGGAGTAGAGATGTAGTTAAGTTCCCCCCACTATCAACACCTCTTCCCCTACACCCCAAAGATCTCTCTTGTTCTGAGCCAGAGTGTCTGGGCTTTGTAAGAACCTCATTAGGTCCCATTGTGAACATGACTAAAAAACTGTTCTATTAGCTTGGGAATGTGGGGAACTTAACAGCATTCTGTTTATTTGGGATCAGTCAGGAGACTAGCTTTATTGGGAGGGGGGAATGGGTATGGGAACAATCAGGAGGCGGTAGGAAGAGAGGATATTATTTATCTTGGAGAAAAGGCTGAGAAGTATATAAGAAGCCTCTGAGATCACAAAATACTATTAGGTTGGTGCAAAAGTAATCATGGTTTTGGACCCTGAATTTTTAATCATTATAACTAGGCTCAAACACATCTTTATTAATCAAAATAGGAACCGTTACAATCAACACATTGTTACCAACAAAAAACAAGTTTGTTTATTCCTGTGCTGTAAAAATCCATGCTTTGGGGTTCAACAAACTCTTAGAAAGCACTTTCTGCATCCTCCTGGTTGTGGAAGCATTTTCCCCACAAAAAGTTTTTGAGAAGCTTGAAGAAGTGGTAGTCGGTTGGCAAGACGTCAGGTGAATATGGCAGATGAGGCAAAACTTCGTAGCCCAATTTGTGCAACTTTTGAAGTGTCGGTTGTGTGATGTGTGGTTGGGCATGGTTGTGGAGAAGAATTAGGCCCTTTCTATTGACCAATGCTGGCTGAAAGCATTGCAGTTTTTGGTGCATCTCATTGATTTGCTGAGCATACTTCTCAGAGGTAATGGTTTTGCCAGGATTCAGAAAGCTGTAGTCGATCAGATTGGCAACAGACCACCAAACAGTGACCATGACCTTTTTTGGTGCAAGTTTGGCTTTGGGAAGTGCTTTGGAGCTTCTTCTAAGTGCAACCACTGAGCTGGTTGTTGTCGATTGTCATATAAAATCCACTTTTCGTCACACATCACAATCTGATGGAGAAATGGTTCATTGTTGTGTACAATAAGAGAAGACAACACTTTAAAACAACGACTTTCAATTTTCTGTCAGCTCATGAGACACCCACTTAACGAGCTTTTTCGCTTTTCCAATTTGCTTCAAATGCTGAACGACTATAGAATGGTTGACTAGAATGGTTGACATTGAGTTCTTCAGCAACTTCTCCTGTAGTTGTAAGAGGATCAACTTCCATGATTGCTCTCAAATGGTCATTGTCAACTTCTGATGGCCGGCCACTGTGCTCCTCATCTTCAAGGCTCTCATATCCTTAGCAAAAATTCTTGAACCTTCACTGCATTGTACAGTCATTAGCAGTTCCTGGGCCAAATGCATTGTTGATGTTGCAAGTTGTTTCCCAATGCTTTACAAACTTGAATAAGAAAATCGCTCAAGGCCCAGTGCGGTGGCTCACGCCTGTAATCCTAGCACTCTGGGAGGCCGAGGCGGGTGGATCGTTGGAGCTCAGGAGTTTAAGACCAGCCTGAGCAAGAGCGAGACCCTGTTTCTACTAAAAATAGAAAGAAATTAATTGGGCAACTAAAAATATATAGAAAAAATTAGCCGAGCATGGTGGCACATGCCTGTAGTTCCAGCTACTCAGCGGGCTGAGGCAGGAGGATCACTTGAGCCCAGGAGTTTGAGGTTGCTGTGAGCTAGGCTGATGCCACGGCACTGTAGTCTGGGCAACAGAGTGAGACTCTGTCTCAAAAAAAAAACCAAAAAATCACTTGAATTTGCTTTTTGTCTAACATTATTTCCATGGTCTAAAATAAATCTAAACACTAAGTAATAAGTGATTAGCAAAAATATAAGGCACGAAATGCTCATTAAAATGATGTATAACATAACCTCATTTATTTAATAATGTATTCCAACATCAAACGGCAAATTTCAACAATGCTTAAACCGCAATTAAATTTTGCACCAACCTAATATTTTATTTCTGGGACAGAAAGGCAGATTATTGTAGGAAGTTTTGGATATGAAAATTTTCTAGTTTAAAAAATGAGTTTGGCCGGGCGTGGTGGCTCACGCCTGTAATCCTAGCACTTTGGGAGGCCGAGGCGGGCGGATTGCTCAAGGTCAGGAGTTCGAAACCAGCCTGAGCGAGACCCCGTCTCTACCAAAAAAAAAAAAAAAAAAATAGAAATAAATTAATTGACCAACTAAAAATATATATACAAAAAATTAGCCGGGAATGGTGGTGCATGCCTGTAGTCCCAGCTACTTGGGAGGCTGAGGCAGTAGGATCGCTGAGCCCCGGAGATTGAGGTTGCTGTGAGCCAGGCTGACGCCACGGCACTCACTCTAGCCTGGGCAACAAAGTCTCAAAAAAAAAAAAAAAAGAGTTTGAAGATGAGAGATCTTTGGAGCCTTTACTTTATGACTGATAATAAAATTAAAATGCAAGGGCTAAGTATATGCGTGCCAGGTAGGGAGACCAACCATCCCTATTCACCTGAATTGAGGGGTTTCCTAAGACATGGGATTTTTAGTGCTAAAACTGGGATAGTCCCAGGCAAATTAGGATGGAGTACCCTAGTGCCAGATTCTATACTATATACTTCATATGTATTCCTATTTAATCCCCCCAACAATCCATAAAAATGAACTATTGAAGGTAATATAGCTAATAAGTGACAGAGCTGTGACTTGAACCCAGATCTGTCTGGAGAGTCAGAGCAATTAATCATTAAGCTACACCGACTCTTCAAAAGGGCAATTAAAGGCTGGGCGTGGTGGCTCACACCTGTAATCCTAGCACTCTGGGATGACCAGGAGGGCGGATTGCTCGAGGTCAGGAGTTCAAAACCAGTCTGAGCGAGACCCTGTCTCTACTAAAAATAGAAAGAAATTAATTGACCAACTAAAAATATTTATACAAAAAATTAGCTGGGCATGGTGGCACATGCCTGTAGTCCTGGCTACTAGGGAGGCTGAGACAGTAGGATCGCTTAAGTCCAGGAGATTGAGGTTGCTGTGAGCTGGGCTGATGCCACGGCACTCACTCTAGCCTGGGCAACAAAGTGAGACTCTGTCTCAAAAAAAAAAAGAGCAATTAAAGAGAATCCTTTGATATGAGAATAGAACCAAGATACAGAGAAGGTTGGAATAGATTTGTGATGAAATCTGTCTTGTCTTGGTAGGTTCATCCTGACAAAAATCATCATCCGAGAGCTGAGGAGGCCTTCAAGGTATTGCGGGCAGCTTGGGACATTGTCAGCAATGCTGAAAGGCGGAAGGAATATGAGATGTAAGTTGGAGATGGGTAATTGTCAGATGAGATAAATGAAAAATCCATAATAGGAGAGACCCCTGGACTTTTACATGAAGGCTCTTTGAGGTGGAGAGAGCTGAAGTTGCTTGTCTTTCTAGCTAGCCATGGCCTGAAGAGGCCAATAGATCTGTCTCCCTTTGTCCTTCCCTCGGTACCCTCTGACTTAAAAAGTCTTTCTTCTCTTAGGAAACGAATGGCAGAGAATGAGCTGAGCCGGTCAGTGAATGAGTTTCTGTCCAAGCTACAAGATGACCTCAAGGAGGCAATGAATACTATGATGTGTAGCCGATGCCAAGGAAAGCATAGGTATGAAATAGGAGGACAGGGATGGGACAGCCACAGCTCAGGGATTGGGTAACCAAAGACTTTCCTTGGTCATTACTGGTAATTGTGAGATAGAGATGATGGATGAGTAAAAAGACTCTGAGGTTTCTACCTTTGCCATACTCTCAAGAGATAAAGGATTTGAATTAGCAGTAAGAAAAAAAAAATTAGCTTTAAGATGAAGGTTGAAGCCAAGGGGGTCCATAGGCATATGAAACAATTAAGTGGAGATAATTTTAGGTGTTTCAGCTGTATTTGTAATGATGGGACTACTAGCATTGCCCTAGGTAGGCCTGACAAATTATTTTTATTTATTTATTTATTTTTGTAAAACATTATGCTTATGGAGACTTGACAAATTATTAAGGAACTATCCTCTTGTTGGGCTGTAGGAGGTTTGAAATGGACCGGGAACCTAAGAATGCCAGATACTGTGCTGAGTGTAAGAGGCTACATCCCGCTGAAGAAGGAGACTTTTGGGCAGAGTCAAGCATGTGGGGCCTCAAGATCACCTACTTTGCATTGATGGATGGAAAGGTGTATGACATTACAGGTATTCTTCTGTCCTCTAAAAATACGGGCTTGCTGGGTGTGGTGCCTCATGCCTGTTATCCTAGCACTCTGGGAGGCTGAGGCGGGTGGATTGCTCAAGGTCAAGAGTTCGAGACCAGCCTCAGTAAGAGCAAGACCCTGTCTCTACTAAAAATAGAAAGAAATTAATTGGCCAACTAAAAATACATATAGAAAAAGTTAGCCAGGCATGGTGGTGCATGCCTGTAGTCCCAGCTACTTGGGAGGCTGAAGCAGGATAGCTTGAGCTCAGGAGTTTGAGGTTGCTGTGAGCTAGGCTGACACCACGGCACTCTAGCCCGGGCAACAGAGTGAGACTCTGTCTCAAAAAAAAAAAAAAATAGGGCAATTGCATTCCAGCATTGTCGAGGTCTGTGAGTTGTGATACTAGCAAAGGTGGGAATGGGACGTTGAGAAGATCTGAATGATAGAATTGCATAGGAAAGAAAAATAGCAACCAATTCAAGTAAATTTTCAAGCTTTTTCTTTTAGATAACATAAATTCAATAAACTTTTGAACTACAAAAGATAAAACAATTTAAAAAAATAAATAAAAATATGAGCTTATACTAAGTGATCGCATATGTGCTTTAAACTGTGATTTTTGGCTATTTCTCGCATTTGCAGAGTGGGCTGGATGCCAGCGTGTAGGAATCTCTCCAGATACCCACAGAGTCCCCTATCACATCTCCTTTGGTTCTCGGATCCCAGGCACCAGTGGACGGCAGAGGTAGGTGATGTTTCTGTCAGTAATCTATCCACTATTTTTTTAAATTAATTAATTTATTTTTCTTGAGACAGAGTCTTACTCTGTTGCCCGGGTTAGAGTACCATAGCGTCAGCCTAGCTTACAGCAGCCTCAAACTCCTGGGGTTAAGCAATCCTTCTGCCTCAGCCTCCCGAGTAGCTGGGACTATAGGCATGCACCACCATGCCCAGCTAATTTTTTCTCTATATATTTTTAGTTTGCCAATTAATATCTTTCTATTTTTAGTAGAGACGGGTGTCACTCTTGCTCAGGCTGGTTTCTAACTCCTGACCTTGAGCTATCTACCCGCCTTAGCCTCCCAGAGTGCTAGGATTACAGGCGTGAGCCACTGCACCCTGGCCCACTATTTTGGTTTTGAATGTGGTTTCAAATGACCTGCTGTTTAGGATACCTAGGTGCCTCATTTTCTGGGAAGTTTGGGAACTGACTGGGTATACCTGTGTCTTTAACTTAGGTAACCCTGGCTCTAATGCCACTTGCCTTATTATTCCTTCTGTTTTCTCTCAGAGCCACCCCAGATTCCCCTCCTGCTGACCTTCAGGATTTCTTGAGCCGGATCTTTCAAGTACCCCCAGGCCAGATGTCCAATGGGAACTTATTTGCAGCTCCTCAGCCTGGCCCCAGGGCCACTGCAGCCTCTAAGCCTAACAGCACAGTACCCAAGGGAGAAGCCAAACCGAAGCGGCGGAAGAAAGTTAGGAGGCCCTTCCAACGTTGACACCCCTTCTTTTCTTTCCTCAAATCAATGTCAGGGAGTCAAAAGGGCTGTGTACAGCACAGGATGGAGTTTGATTTGTTTATTTTTAAATATTTTAAAAAGGGAAAGCTTAAATTGTTACTCAGTACTTGTAGGAAGCCCCTGAACCACTCTCCCCTCTCCCCCAGTACCCAGTAACTGAATCTTGTCTTATGACAATACCAAAGAAATAGGGAGTGGCTAGAGCAAAGAACCTATAGGGCCTGGACAATATATCCCTTTGAGGTGTGGGAACTGGGTATTTTCCTGGGGTCTATATGCCTTTGTCTTGTCATTTGCTTTTAGAACAGATGACACTCCCCCTGTTTTTAAACTATCAATCTGTCTTCTTTCTTGACCTATTTCAGGAGGAAGTTTCCTCCTTCACCCTGAATAATAGTTAAAAGACAGAACAAGAAAGCATGTAGCCCTAATTATAGGAGATGGTAGAGTTCAGAGGGTGGAAACTCTGAATTTTCCCTTTTTCACCTTGTGGGTAAATCATCCAATTTCAGGCTTGTTGCTGCAAGGATGGCCAAAATTAATTTTTAAAAAGGAGACTCATGCCTGCTGCCCTTGGGTGAGGGGGAAGGCTAAGTGGGTTCCAAGAAGCCCCCTTGTGATCTAAGGGTTTGTATTTTTTTAAGTTTGTTCATATTTGTATGTATATATCTATTTAAAGCCAGGGGATTATCTTTCTATAAATATATAACTGGCAAATTGTACCTTCCCTCTCTTCTTTGCCCATACAGCTGGAGCCCTTTTTCTCATTTGAGAATCCTTTCCCTACCAAATGTGAGCCGAGAGTGAAGGGCACCTCCTATTGGACCAAAGGAGAGGGAATTAAAAAATTGCTTAAGGTTTTATACAGTAATTCAGTATTCTATCTTTCCTCTCTAGCCTTATGAGGACATCTCCCTACTTTGTTTCCTGATCAAATTGCAGCCATAGCTGAAACAATTTTCTTTATTATAAGGAAAATAAACACCAAAACAAAGCTAGAAGGTGGTAGGGATAGAAGATAAGGAAAAATGTAATCACCAAACAAGCTGCCCCAAACATGGCTTCCTGCTACAGAAGACAATGATTTGGCCCTTATCTCATTTGCCTTTCCTGATTGAAAGAAACTTGCCCCTACTAGGACTGGGCCAAGAGCCCCATTTTCCAATCTCTTCTCTTTCTGGGAGCTTGAGAAAAGTTGTATAGTTCTCAGGCTATCAAGATATAGAAGAAAGTATGGAGAAGAAGGGAAGGATATTATAGCCCCTTGTTCCAATGCTTTCCCCATGTCCATGGAGCTATCCCCAGCCCCATCCCTCAGTATTTGTTGATGCCAAAGACACGAACCCCATGGAATTGGGGCAACTTAGGCAGCAGTACACTGAGCAATGAGGCTGTGTTGATGAGGAAGTGGGCAGCATCATACTTGGTGTAGAAGCTGGCCAGGAGGTAGCTGGGGAGAGAAAAAAATAGGATGAGTGAGGTTGGCCTTTCCTATCCAAATTCATGCCTTTCTAGTGACCTTTTTTTTTTTAATTAAAGAAAGGTTTTTTTGAGATAGGGTCTTGCTATGTTGCCCAGGCTGGAGTGCAGTGTCCATTCAAAGGCACGATCATAATGCACTACAGCCACTGAACTGGGGTCAAGCAGTCCTCCTGCTTCAGCCTCCTGAGTAGCTGGGACTAGGCACTTGCCAGTTTTATTGCATGTAGTCCTAGGCTATCTGAAAATATTCTAGCTATATCAACAATGTTTACTTTGGAGTTCAGGAGATAATCAGATACCACCTTTAACTGGAGATGTAAGTCAGTTTATGTTTCTTCACTATTAATGATATGGCAAATGACAGCTGAAGCTGTTTCAGCCTGTATGACTGTTAGGGTCCTCTTTGCTTCCACTCCCTAAAGTGTTTTTAAAGATTAACATTAGTTCTGCCTTTATCTATTCACTTATTTTAGAAGTATAAAATCAATTAGTTTTACATGGCACTTTATTTTTTTCTCAGTCCCTTCATTCCCCAACTACTAAGGAGGCAGCAAGGGAAGGGAAGAGATGTTTGATTACAGCACTGTCTTCTACTTTTTTTTTTCACCCCAGCTAGAGTGCAATGGTGTCATCATAGCTCACTGCAACCTCAAAGTCCTAAGTTCAAGCCATCCTTCTGCATCAGCCTCCCGAGTAGCTGGGACTACAGGTGTGTGCCACTACACCTGGCTAATTTTTCTATTTTTTTGTAGATATGGGATCTCACTCTTGCTCAGGCTGGTCTTGAACTCCTGGTCTCAAGCCATCCTCCCACATTGGCCTCCCAAAGTGCTGGGATTACAGGTGTGAGCCACCACACTTGGCCCCACTGTCTTCTACTTTTAGTGCTCTCTGTGGACTTAGTATACCATAATATCTTCAAAGAGTCTTACTTGGATAGCCTACTTTTTAAAAGCTTCCCTATGGGCCTTTCAACTTGGCTCTTGGAACTCTTTTCTAACCCAGCATAGACTCACAGCACAATAGGAGAGATGCTGAGGAACTTGCGGGAAGAGGTAAACTGGAGCCCATAGTCCATCTGCTCCCAGTGTGTCAGTAGCCGAGCCTTTCCTTGGTCAGGGGTTTCAAAAGGTGTCCCTTTCACCGTATGTAGGAAGACATACATTGCCTGGGAAGAGGGAAGCGGGCAGTATGAAGGGCAGAAAATAGTTCTTCAGCCCAAGAATTATGCGAAGATCCCAAAAGGAAGACATAAACCCCCAAACAACTGGTGATTTTATTTTGGTTTTGGTTGGGAAAGGCCTGGGGTGGGTACAAAGGTGTGGTTCAGTGCTCACCAAGTTATGGATGACGTTGGTCAGAGTCCAGACAACAGGAATGCTGAAGAAGGGGATGCTGAGTAGAACCACATGCAGCAGTCCTACCAAGATGATGTAGGCCAGCCAGATGCCCCGGCTATTCATCACTCGAGTGTTGGGGTTTACTTCGCTGTGTGCCACCCCCACATTCATCCTACCATAATGGGTGACCAGGCAGGAGATCAACTCAATTTACTCTAAATCCCTTTTTGAGTTTGTTCTCCCATTTGTATCCCAAATAATCAAAATCCCCTGAACTCTTGGAATGAAAGAACTTCCTCATCACGCAGAAAGGAAAAACTGAAGACTTGGGGAAAACTTTAAATGGTTAAATAGAAGAGTCCTTACATTTTAGAGACATGATTAATTTTACTCTAATCTTTACACTTCAACTGTAACATGAAGGTGTAAGCCCAGCTTTGGGGCATCCACTTCAAGGAAGGAGCAAGGGAAACAGTGTCTCACTTCACTTTCTTGAAGAAGTTAATAAGGAATCATGAAGAGGTCACATACACCCAGGATTCCAGAAGACAGTCGTGGAATCAATCAGGGAACCACTAAGAAGGGATGAGAGTAAAGCTAACTTTAGGCCCAACCTTTTTCTCTGGGGCTTGTCCGCCCTGTCCCTCACGCCCGTGGCATTTAAGCAGCCGATATCCCCATTCCTTCTCTCTCGCTGTAAGAACTTAAGCCGGGCTTCTGGACTGGGCTAGGAAGGGACTTGAACTCAACGCTTCGAGAGATGGAGCCTTAGCCCTGACTCCAGGGGCAGGTGTGATCGTCTGAATTTGGGTGTTTAAAATCGTGCTAGCTGTAAAGCTGATGAAGCCTGGTTAGGAAGTAGCTCTTGCCCTCTCTACCTAAAATTCTCTAAACCCTAGTATTGAACCCGCCCCCTGATCCTCCCAGCTTCCCTCTCTTGTTCATGGGTTCCTTTCGGGGCTCTCTTCAGCGTTCCCCTTTCGGTTTTTAACTAGCCACCCTTTTCGCCGCCCATCATTTTTCTTCGGTAACCCTTTCCAGCCTCCTGATAGCTCCTACCTGCCAGCTTCAGAAGCCCGTTCGGCTAGGGGCGCGACTCTCGATTCCACACCTGTGGTCTCCAGGAAGAAGCCTATCCATCTGCGCTCTCGCTATTGGTGGAACAGAATCAGCGCTGCCATTACCCATTGGTTGGTGGTCTGTAATGAGGACGCACAATTGGCTGCTATTTCTGTCGTTCGGATCTTGTAGAACCCGCCCTTCTCCCCGTCCCACCTTTTGAGAGGCGTGGGGAAAGCTGAGGAGAGGAGTGAGAGCGACACCACCTATTGACTAATGGAAAGAGCTGATGGTATGGGGTGGGAGTAAGAGAGACAGTGATTGGTCAGCTCAGGATCTCTACGCCTAGGCGGGATCTCCTGGAGGCGGAGGCAGCGGGTGGGGGCCCTAGTGGAGTGAGGGGTAACAAGATGGCGACGGAGACGGTGGAGCTCCATAAGCTGAAGGTACTGTGAGGCGGGGAAGGGTTTAGTTGGACTTTTCTGGCGACTGAATTCTACAAGGTGGCTTGCGCCTTTTTCTCCTACGTGTTCTTCTTGAGGCTTTTCCACTTCGTTTCCCGGCTTCCGCCGTAATTCTTTTGTACCTCCCTGCCTCACTACGCCTTCCTAATTTCCTATTTCTTCTTACGGTTTTACCGCTATCGTTATCGGTTATTTCTGCTCCCATCTTAATCGTTGTATCGCCCATCACCCTTCCCCACCGGCTTCTGTAAGTGCTTTTTGCCTGTTATAGTCTTTATTTCTCGTCAGAGCTGCATTACGTCAGTGATCCCTCCTCTTTGCCCCATGCCGGACGCTGGACCTCCTTTTTCTCCCTGGGTTGATGCTTTCCCATTTGTTGTCCAAAGCTCAGATTTCCCTGTTAGCAGATGATGGCACTTTTGTGTATTGCAATCTGAATAGGTCTCAAACACGATCTAGAAAATGCTTTCACTCCCTTTTTCTAGGTGGGGTTACGCCCCCGGGCCGAATTTCGAAACCGGGGAGAGGCTTCTACATAGAAGCCTGGGGTTGAGGAGGCTTAAGAATTAGTAAAAGTACAGACACCTCAGATTTAAAAGTTTTTGGAGTCTTCTCACGCGGTTCTCCGCTTGCTGGCTTTTCCCTCACAGCATCCCCTACCACCACAGAGAACTCATAATTGAAGTATTTTGGAAAAACAATTACAAGGTTAGGGTTATCTTTGTCCCATTTCTTACCGCGGATGGACCTTATATCTCTTGGTGTCACCATTCGGTGACACTCTGAATCACAGAAGCTGTTTTAAATTGTCTTGGGAATCTTCGTAGCTTTCTCACTGGAAGAAACATTCTTTTATGTTGAATGAAGAGGATATCTTGATTCATTGTCTATTTGTGGTTGCACAAGTAGTTTTCCCATTAGATATTTTAGTCCTGTTACCCTGGGAACCTTGGACAAACCAGGCTGATTTAGCCAACACTGAAAACTGATCCTTTAAAGCCTGATGAGCTTTTTTTTTTTTTTTTTAAAGCTTTAAGGAGAGTAAGGGTGGGGAGAGGGCCTTTTAGTTGACACCAATTAGTCTTTCTATGAAAGCTGATATATTTCTTACTCTTGGATTCTAAACTTTACTAGTTGGTTTTTGTGTTATTCTGGAGTTACTGTTAACTCGGTGGTGCTGAAATGCAGACTGTGTCAGTGGCCTCCTAATATTTATTGTGATGAGTAAAAATAAATTGAACAATCACCTCCATTTTATACACATGATACTTATTTGTATATATTATATACTTATGTATCATTATGTATGTTATAAAACATGCAGAAAATGAATTTTTGAATGAATGGGATAAAAAGGAAATATGTATAGAAGAGCTAATGTTTTCTTCCTAATTTTGAAACCCCTGGAGTAAGTCACTAGCTTCCTCATGACTTGCTTTTATGGATTTTATATTGGGTTATGAAATTCCTCCTCCCATCACATCTGCATTTGTCAGGTCTCTATTAAATTTGTATTTGATTGGATAAGTCACTTTTACATAATGTCCTCTGACCTGATTTCAGGTATTACAGCCTAAGAGAACATGAGCCACTCCTGACACCCTAAAAAGAACTCACTCTTTAATCATATTTGCTTGTCTTTGCTTTTTCTCTAGAGTACTTCTTAACCTTTTGGAGGTCACAGATATCTTTGAAACTCTCATGAAAGGTATGGACCCTCTCCCCAGAAAAAGGCATGTACTCATACTTTGCATGCAATTTGAGGGGCTTCATAAAACTACCTTGTAGCCCTGAGGAGTCCATGGACCTCTGGTTAAGAACCCATGCCTTTAATACTGACTTTTACGACAGTTAATGTTTGTTTCCTCTGGTGATCTTGGTGGAGTTATCTTGACCTTGCGTTGACTTAGTGTTTTATAGCCTTTTAAACAATCTTTGTATCTTCATAAAGAGAATTTTGGGCTTTAATATGGGACCTCTGAGGAAAGGAATAAGTTTTGAAGTAGGGAGAAGAAATAGTGTATTATCTGTCTGAATTGATGTGTAAGTTCATATCAATTGCAAGTTTTTGAAGATTTTGTAGAAATGCAGTCATTCTAACATACTTGGAAAGAGAGATTGAACTGGGGGTGAAGATGCCTTGAACTGTAACAGTATCAGATTTCCTGTTAAACTTGAGAAAAGGAACTATGGCAGAAGAGAGGAGAAAGCTGTAGTAGTGTCAGAGTGTTGAGAATAGTGGAACATTTGTATAATTAAAACATAAAGGCTGGGCATGGTGACTCACATCTGTAATCCTAGCACTTTGGGAGGCTGAGGCGTGAGGATCACTTGAGGTCAGGAGTTCAAGACCAGCCTGAGCAAGAGTGAGACCCCGTCTATACTAAAAATAGAAATTAGCTGAACAACTAAAAATAGAAAAAGTTAGCTGAGCTTGGTGGCACATGCCTTGTAGTTCCAGTTACTTGGGAGGCTGAGGCAGGAGGATGGCTTGAGCCCAGGAGTTTGAGGTTGCTATGATCTAGGCTGACCCTACGACGCTCTAGCCCTGGCAACAGAGCAACACTGTCTTAAAAAAACAAAACGAAACATAAAGTGTGCATATATGTTGGTGGTTGAAGATAGTTTGGAAAGGAAAGTAGGTAAATTGACTATATAGGTAAACTGGAGTGTTATTGAAAAGGGCTTTCTAACTTGTGTGAGGAGTTCTGGTTCTTGTCATGTAGTCATAAGTAGTGCTTGGAGCCTTTGGGAATTGGAAAGGAGGAGGCTGATGTGATCAGTTTTTGTTCTTTTTTTTTTTTTTTTTGGCCCTCTGACTGGATAATTTCAAATGACCTGTCTTTAGGTTCACTATATCTTTTTTTCTGCTTGATCAATTCTGTTCTTAAAACTTTCTGTTGTATTTTTCAGTTCATTGTACTCTTAAGCTCTAATTTTATATGGTTTCTATTTCTTTGTTGAAATTCTAATTTTGTTCATGTATTGTTTTCCTGATTTTTGTTAGTTGCCTATCTATATTTTCTTGTCGTTCACTGAACAACTTTAAGATAATTATTTTGAATTCTTTGTCAGGCAGTTTGTAGATATCCATTTCTTTAAGGTTGCTATTAGACCTTATCACTATTTTCAGTGGTGTCTTATTTTCTGGACATTGTTTTTTTCTTATTCTTGCATATGAGTCTGCATATTTGAGAAAGTGATCACCTCTTTCAGTCTTTGCAGGCTGTAATAAACCCCAATCTTCATCATTAGATCTCAACTCATTTTCTTTTTTTTTTTTTTTGAGACAGAGTTTTACTCTGTTGCCGGGGCTAGAGTGCCGTGGTAA